AACCCCAGATTACGCTTCATGTGTCATTTCTTGGGTTTATCAGGAAGCCTAGTATCCACACTGTATTCCTAGATTGTTGAGTGCAACCTTCCCCCCAGTCTGGTTCCAGAGCCGCATCAGTCCCAAATAAACACATGAAGCTGTTGGCCGTTTGCTTGGTTTCTTACTGGCTATATCTGATTTCAGAATTTAACTCACAATTGCTAATCTAAGTATTTCTCTTACCATCTAATGTCCTACTGTCTACAATGAAAAACATATTACATCCCATGGTAAATGCAAAAGGCTGGTCAAACAATCCTGGTGTCTCTCCCTTACAGACACTTTCAGCTGAATGTGGCACTGTCCTAAGTATCATGGCAATGACAATTTCTAACTCTCACCTCTTGGAGGAGCATGACCTGAATGAAAGCACCTTCAATAACACAAGGAAATCATTTCTTCCATACCCTCCCCCAAAAGGCAAGTAACTCATTGAGCCAATAAAAACAGTTCAAAGATAGTAACAGTATAAAGGTGATCAGAGCCAGGCGTTGGTGGCACACGCCTTTAATCCCAGCACTCGGGAGGCAGAGGCAGGCGGATCTCTGTGAGTTCCAAAACAATACAGAGAAACCCTGTCTCGTAAAACCAAAAAAAAAAAAAAAAAAAAAAAAAAGGGTGATCAGTTTTCCTAAGTGTTTAGAGTCAACTATTCTTTCAACTCATTTCAACAATAAAGAGCTCCCTTTTCAAGACAGGGTTTCTCTGTGTAGCCCTGGCTGTCTTGGAACTCACTTTGTAGACCAGGCTGGCCTGGAACTCTGCCTCCTGAGTGCTGGGATTAAAGGCTCGTGCTGCCCCACCTGGCAATAAGAGCACTCTTAAGGAGGCATAGATAGGCTAGCCTGGTCTACATAGTGATTAACGGGACAGCCAGAGCCACATAGTGAGACCTTGTTGCAAAAAAAAATAAAAGCACTTTTAATTGTTTTGAATAGTAATGGTTACAATGTGTAGTTGGATCTCCAGATCAAAGCTATCTATCTGCACAGCACTCAGATATCATATGCCCTCACCGCGAATTATATTCATACTTTTTCCAGAAGCCAAAGGATAGTGACGTGCCACTTGAAATAGAAACAGATGGAAGAAACCAGTCACTGTGAGATAAACATATTTACAAAAAGCATAAACTTTTCTCATGAAGTGGTTTTAGACTTAGAAATTAGTTCCCACAAAATATTTAACATGCAGGGTGGCCGTGGTGGCTCACACCTTTGATCCCAGGGCTTGGGAGGCAGAGGCATGCGAATCTCTGTGAGTTCAAGGCCAGCCTGGTCTACAGATCAAGTTCCAGGACAGCCTCCAAAGCTATAGAGAAACCCTGTCTCGAAAAAAAAAAAACAAAAATAAAAATTAAATTATAAAAATTGTTAACATAAGGGCAGATGAGTTTAACCAAGGTTTTAAACCGAGCGAAAGGTTTAAATGTGTCGATTGTAAAATCAAACAATCAGGATCAACAAAGCCCAAATAAATCAAAAGCTCTTTAGTGTCACCATGAATTGAGTGTGACAACTCTGGAGTGGGAACTGAGCAGAGAACCCCCACACTTGTTGTCTGCCTGTATAGCCGGGGTTCACATGGGCAGGAATCAGACCCAATCTGATCCCATCTCCTTCCCTCCTCATTGAGGGTCAGTTATTACTCTGTGAGGCTTGGGAAACTCAGTCAGGAGCCATACTTCAGCTGGAATCCCCCTTTCCTTCTGAGATTAGCAGGGGACAATGTACGGGTTTTTTTCTTTGGTTTTATGGGGTGGGGGTGGGGTAATGAAGTATGGTTCTGATAAAGGAGTTCTAGCAGGATTTCCAGTATCATCTTTTGCAGATCAGTGCACAGTTGAACTCCATTCTCAAGCCAGTAAAGAGAATCAACACCCAGCACTTAACATTAACACAAGTGAAAAGAGGTAGCAAGAAGGCTAAGTCAATCCAAAAGACATGATTTTCTTTTGTAATAATCTAACATAGCCTGATGACCCCAGGCTGTCAAGCTTCTCAGAGATAGCTCTCTGGATATAGGCTCCCAATTCCTACTCCAGTTCCAATAACAAGTATTTTCCATTCTCAACAGTCAGAGCAAGAATTCCAAGACATTGGGGGTTAGGGTTAACTAAGTAGGGGTGAGGTAGAGGCTCAGGAAGAGCCAAGTATGAAAAGGAACCTTCAAGCCTTCAGTCCTGGCTGCAAATTGTGGACTGTGCACTGGGCTGTTAGCTCCTTTCTGAAATGGGGTCAACACAGACCTCAAGTTTCTTAAGAATTGTTTCTGAAGCCCTACCAGGTCAAACATCAAATAAGCAACCCACTTGGCAAATGTGCAACACATGGTCAATGTCACCCACCAAAATGACAAGTGTCCACATTTCCTGTAAGGTTTAGGGACATATTTAACCAAGAGCATGAAAGCAGATATTGTCATGCCTGATCTCATGGGGGGGGGCTGCTTCTCTAGTACACAGAGTCGTGTTGTCACAAAAGCTAACTAGTTTGAGATTTCAAGACATGGAGAGTGTCCCCTGAGAGGGTTCCACAATACAGGACAAGAGCACTGACAAACAGCTATGCAGTGTCACACACATCTTCACTTCTGAACACACAGAAAGTTATGACATGCCGGGTGGTGGTGGCGCACGCCTTCAATCCCAGCACTCTGGAGGCAGAGGCAGGCAGATCTCTGTGAGTTCGAGGCCAGTCTCATCTACAGCGTGAGTTCCAGGGATAGCCTCCAAAACAATACAGAGAAATCCTGTCTCGAAAAACCAAAAAAAAAAAAAAAAAAAAAAAAAAGCTATGACATGGGCTACTTGTAGAGTTTCCACTTTGCCTTTCTGTACTGTTCTAAGATTTTTCTGTATAAATATTGTCCTTTAAAAAATGTATGAGGCTGGAGAGGTTGAGAGGTTCAGAGTACTGAATGCTGTTCCAGAGAACCAGGGTTTGATAACCAGCACCCACATAACAACTCATAACTGTCTTAACTCAAGTTCCAGGGGATCAGTTACCCTCTTCTGACATTTGAGGGCACCAGGCACACATGTGGCACACAGACATACATTCAGGCAAAACACCCATGTGTACAAGTGCAGGTGCCCGTGGAGGCTGTGAGCTGCCTGGCATGGGTCCTGACCCCTGAGCCATCTCCTCAGCCCGTTAAGTATTACCTCTCGACCCAAGCACAAAAAAAGCCACCTTCATTTTGGAAAACCTGACTAACCTTTTCACCTATCGGCACATGAAAAACATAACCCTAGCACTTACACGTTTGATACACAAAAAAAGTATATGTTCCTACAAACACCACAGAAGATAATCAACACCTGGGGATAAACTGTGTCTGCCACCTGTGTGTAGGTGCCCAAAGAGAACACAGCAGGGCACAGGATTTCCTGGGACTAGAGTTACAAGTGGCTGTGAACCCTCCAGATGGGTGGACATAGATGCTTGGGAACCAAGCTCTGGTCCTCTAGAAGACAAACAGTAGCTCGTAACAGCTGAGCCATTTCTCCAGTCTCCAGAATTACTTTTAAAGAAGTATGTACGACTGCCTACTCACCTTCCCTTATCAACTTCTCAAAATGACTGCTCAGAAAATAAACTAAAGCCTGGTCAACATGGTCTGTCTCACGGGTGAGCCTGCACACTCAGAACAAATAAACACAACTCAGACTTTGGGCTTTGACCTCTTTCCTAAGAGCACACTATCGCTATCTGTTAATCGTATAACCTTTGTAACTCAACACACAGCATTTGATACAATCGTAGAAATGAGTGGGCTTTTATCTATATAGGACCCAGTCATCCAATTAAGGTTCAAAAGAGAATCCGTTCTGGTACTATTTCTTAGTTGGGGCTTGAGCATGAGAAACAGATCCAAATACATGGGGCACTGCAGGAATCTAAGAGCAACGTGAAACAGGCTGGTTTACATTATCGAATCTTTGCTCTTCCAGGGCCAAACAGAAGGCACCTGGCATCGTAGTACAGGTGTATAACATGGTAAAACACGTCCTGCTAGATGTGTAACGCCTGGCACAGCACCCTACCATACGCTGAGAAATAGTTCGTTGGGCTGCTCGGCACTGGCTGGGGGAATTAAGACTCTTCAGCCTATTAAGGCATACATACCAGAGGTTCAGAGAGCTTTACTGACCATAGAAAACTCCAGCGCACCGAAGACACGCCATCTCACCTTCAAGACCTACCTGGGCCTCCCTCAGTCCCCTAGCACATGGTCTCGGCAAACCATTGTGATGCTACACATGCCCTGAGTGCCAGGAGGAAAGTGCTGGTCATGGGTGTTGGCAGGGGCAATCAATTGCACAACCTCTTTTTGTGTGCCGATTCTCATCTGTACACGACTGAGTTTACCTGACAGAACCTCCAGATAACCAAGTATAACAAGGAGCCTCTTTTGTGGAAAATTAAACATACTCAGCATTCCGAATCAAAACCAGGGCCTCTTACCCAAGAGTCGCTTAAGATCAGTCTACATTAACACGCACCTGGACACCAGTATTGGTAAGAGGGAAAGAGAGTCGGGGACTGGGGCGAGCCCCCGCCCCGCCCCGCCCCCGAGATACCTGCTCGCAAAGCCGCGGACCCGCGCCCGGGCCCAGTCGCGTCCTACCACAAGTGCCGAGGACCTGCGGCCGCGGACGGGCCCGCAACTACGACTCGCACTCAAGGGCTCCACAGCCTCCCAGACCCGGGCCAGCCTGGAGCACACAATTCAACCAGACGCAGACCGGCCGCCCGGCCTCGCGCGATCCTCCGCGACCCCTCTGTCCCGGGCCGGAAAGGGCCCCGCGGGCCGCGACGCCATTTTCTCGGCGCGGTAACGCCGCTCGCAGGAACTGGGCTGCGGCCACGGCGCCGCTCCGCCTAGTCCCGACTCCCAAGCGCTGTCCGGGTCCACATGGCTCCCACCCTCCTGCGCGACACAGAGCCACTTACCGCGGCCGCCGGGGTCCCGCGGCCATTTCCAGAGCCGCCACGGAACTAGCGCGGAGGCCAGCGAGACTGCCAGCCTAGAGCGGCAGGCCGCACCGCAAGCGGAAGAAACCAGCCGGCCACCGAGACGCAGCGAGGATAGAGCGGCTACGCGGTCAAGACCGCACGCATGCGCCACCGCGGCCACCCGGCTCCTCCGGAGCGCCCGCCAGGTCCGTGTCTTAGACACGCTTGACAGATTCCTGCGCCCCGAAGCGAGGGGCTACACTGGGAGTCAATGCCACCGAGAGACCCCTCGGGCTATCCTGTGGGCAGTACTCTGCCCAGCCTTTCATAAGGTTTAGAAACTCTCTGCGCCAGCTAGGACCGGTGCTTCGAGGTGAACCTGCGTCCGATTCCGCTGGGGAGGAGCCAGGAAGAAAAGACCCCAAAGCTCTCTGGCAGGTCGCACTGCTCACTTGGCCTCAGGCAGGGTGTATGCGGTGCCGGGAGGGGCGTCCGCCCAGCTTGAATTCCCTGGGATTTTGACCCTGCTTCAATCCGTACTAGAAACACCCTTGCCCCGTCCCCGTGCTTCCAGGAGCCAGGAGCCTGGGTATACGTGAATACGAGGGTCGCAGCCCACCCCCCTTAAGAATTTTCCCCTTGTGCTAACCAGTGACATTCTTTCATTGTCCCCCAAATATTTTAGGAAACCGGAGATAGGCCGCGCTACTCCCTTGCAGCACCATGAATACTAGTCACTTGCCCTGAGAGCGATTAACACTAGGGTTGAGCACTCAGCTTTGCTCCACACAGCCAGCTTCTAATTCACATGTGCACGCAGACACACTGCTTAGAAGTCAGTCTTCTGGCTCTAATTTCAGCCTCTTGGAAAAATAAAGATGTGCCCGTCTAGTAAAACGTCACTCACACTCTAGTGCTCCGTCCAGAACCCCGGGGCTTTATGAAGTAGGTTTGCTTTCAGGATTTCGTTACATGCCAACTCCTGGGGCTCCCAGTGGAGTAGGAAGCTGCTTCGGCTCCCCTGGGTGAGATCCTTCAAGACCACCTTTCTGACTCTAGCCAAGAAGTCTACTCTGATTTCTCAACTCTGCCCTGAGTTGAGGGAAATTTCTACCCCGAGACACAGAATCAGACAAGATTGGATACATCTTAAAGTGTGTGAGCCGTGCAAACTGCAGAATGGGGGTGCTCACATCACAGGCCGAAGTGAAGGCCCAGGCAAACAACAGGGAAGAAGCATGGAGAACTCAGACCTACAACCAAGAAGACAGAAGACCCAAGCTCATATGGTGGCCTCAGGCACCGTGAACCACCCTGCAGTGTGCTCTGGTAGCTGTGCTAGAGTGGCCATCTATGTGACAACTAACTATATGCTCACTGTCCTTTTCTTGCTGTCTTTTCCAATAGGGACCACCCTCCTTGGTGAAAAACATCTGTAGTCTGAACATTTTAAAGCTGGACTATTTACTAACCGAATAGTCCTCACGGCTGAACAGTCACCAGTTAAGATCTTGTTCCCAATCACGAGCACCCACACAACAAGCTGGCATCCTGGCCAAATGTCTGTAACCCTGGCTCCAAGTTGGGGGTTGAGGGATGGAGATGGGAGGTTCCTACAGCTTGCTGGCTTTTAGCCTAAGAGGACACTGGACACCACCCACCACACATGTGTATACTACACAGACCAATTTTAAAAAGGGTGGGGAATAGCAAGGCTGACAAGATAGCTCAACAGATAAAGGTGCTTGCCACCAAGACTGACTGCCCAAGTCTGATCCCCAGGATCCACACACATGGCAAAGAGAGAACCCCACTCCAAGTTGTCCTCTGATAACATCCACACAGACACCATGGCAGCACATACAATTAAAGTATAATACAAAAAGCTAAATAAAATCCTTTGGATGGTGCCACATGCAATTCTGCACTAAAACCCCTAATTCAAAATTTCAAAGCCCTGAAGATATTCTGCAGACATTGGAAACTTGGTAGGCAAGACTACTTTCCAACTCAGCCCATGTCTATTACCAAGTTCTCATATGGCTTAGGAGGCAGAAGGATGGCAGCTTCTCACCAGCACAGACTGCCCATCACAGCAAGATCTTGTCTCAAACAGTATGAGAGCCAGAACAAGGGGCCTGGACCCAACCAAAGTACTGCTGCCCCCCCCAGGTGGGCAACAATAAACTGTCTCAGGTGTGGGGACCCTGAGACCAATCAAGGCTCAAGAGGAAGGATAAGGCAGCAGGGAGATAAGGTAAACCAAGCCGGCTTGGCCTGCTTCCTCTAGTCCCCTGCTCCCCGTGGAGAGTCCCTACCTCATCCCTGCTGACTGGTTATGCACAAGGGTAGTGCTACTGTGCACCTGCACTTGCCAGCTACACCTGTGGCACACTCTCATCACAGAAGTCTAACTAAACAAGTGTATGGACTGATTATTATAACAAAACTCCTATTCTACAGAGACAGAATGCAGATTCCCACAAGAGATACCTCATGGAGGTATTGCGGGGGTGGGGGAGGTTCGTGACTCCTATCCAGGATGCCAACATTCACAGACGCGCAAGTCCTTTATATAAATTATTTCCTTATAACCCACACACATAAGTCCCTGGATGACTTACACCAAAAACAATGTAAATGCTACATAAATGTTATGCTGTATTGTCTAGGGAATAAGAATACAAAACAACGTTGTGCTTGTTCAGTGCAGATGCACACTTCCCTCCCCGTGTGTACATGCCTGTAAGTATACACACAGAATTTGTCAATGTAGCCTAGCCATCCTTGAACTCAACCTCCCAAATGTTAACATTACAAGCTTGTGCCACCAAGCCTGGCTCCAGAGCATTTCTGATCCTAAGCTAGTTGAGTCTACAGGTACGGAACAAGAAGATGCACTGGTCACTGGGGGGAGGGACTAGATATGCAAGGATGATGTGCTTTCTTATATGTAAGAAAAATTTAAGTCACTGGATGTTTCTTTTTTTATTTTGCTTTTTGAGAAACAAATAAATCCTATATAAAATCAACTGGAAAGATGGCTCAGTGGTTATAAGATCACTTGCTGCTCTTACAGAAGACAGTTCCCAGCATCCCAAAGGCGGCAAACAATTATCCTTAACTCCAGTTCCACCCAGACGCCCACTGCATGTGCACATACATGCAAGCAGAACACTCATACACATGAAATAAAAATTAATCTAAGAACCAAAAATCAACAGTTAGCTTCTAGTTCATTTTATTATGTGAAATGCTGGGAATTGAACCCAGAGCCACACTAGGGACATGCTAGGCATAAGTGATCTGGTAGCCCAAGAACTCCCTTTAGATAATACATTTACTTGCACAGCACTGAACACTGAACAACCCAGCTGCTTCATGCAAAGCAAAACAGAGCAAAGCAGAAGCCTTGGGTTCCTCTCTGCAGCAGATCTTTATACGGCAGTGCTACACCCGTACACAGCTGAGAACCAGCACCACCAACCATCACAGTACAGAGCACAGGGTAATGGCAGAACAGAAAAGAGCCAAGAAAACAATCCACAGACTTTGTAGCCAGGTGTGGTGACATTTGACGTTATTACTAGGACTGAGGAGACTGAGGCAGGAAGATAGTGAGTTCCAGACTAGCTCTGGCTACATAGTGAAACATTGTCTTTAAAAACAAAACAAATAAAACCAGCAAGGCAGTGGTGGTGCATGTCTTTAACCCCAGCACTGGAGAGGCAGAGGCAGGTGGATATGAGTTCTAGGCTAGCCTGGTCTACAGAGTGACTTCCAGGATAGCCAGGCTACAGAGAAACCCTGTCTTGAAAATCAAAAATAAATATTAAAACAAATAAACACACAACAAAACACAAAAACCAGTCAGGTGTGTGGTGCAGATTTCTGAAGCCTAGTCTACATAGACAGGGAAACACTGAGACCCATCTCAAAAAAAAAAAGAAAAAAGAAAAAAGAAACACACTATTGTGTCCAGAGAACATACTCTATACAAATCTACCTATAAAGGTGATAAGTCAATGATAATTTTATAATTTTTTTCAGATTTCATGTGTATAAGTGTTATGTATGTATGTATGTATGTATGTATGTATATGTATGCCTAGGGCCCAAATAAGTCAGAAGACAGTGCCAGATTCCCTGAAATTGAAAGGAAAAGTTACAAATACAAAAGTTACCTCCTCCTGGGTGGTGATGGAGCACACCTTTAATTGCAGCACTAGAGAGGCAGAGGCAGATGGATCTCTAAGTTTGAGACCAGCCTGGTCTACAAGAGCTAGTTCCTGGACAGCCTCCAAAGCAATACAGGGAAACCCTGGTCTCAGAAACTGCCCCCCCCCAAAAAAAGTTACCTCCTTCCAACAGAAGGAGTAAATGTGAAGCCGTTTTGTTTTGCATATCTTTTCTACAGAAGCCAAGGACTCCAGAACATCAGGATTTATTTTTTGTTGTTGTTGAATAGTCAAAGAAAGTATCCACAGAAACAAGGCAGTTCTGGCCATGCCTGGTGGCACACACCTTTACTCCCAGAAACTGGAACGCAGAGGCAGGGTGGTCTGAGTTCAAGGTTAGCCTGGTCTACAGAGTTAGACCCAGTCTCAAGGCGGGAAAAGTCATCCTGTAAGACATAGCTGGCATGCTGGCATCTGCTCTGTATTTTATCCTCAGAGTGCTTTCCCCTCCTGGATTATTTACTCAGTGCGGAGACTGAGCCCACTATGGATGCGTCTGTGCCAGACAAGTGCTCTACCATTGAGCCACCGCCACGTTCTTTCAAATTTTATTTTAAAATGTTTATTGTTGTGGTATGTGTACACCCACACCACCAGCATAGGTGTGGTCTGGAGTCTTCTCTCCTTCCGCCTTTACACGGGTTCCCAGTATCATGCAGCAAGCAAATACTTGATACGTCACCCACCAGTTCTTCCAGACCATGTACTTTTAGCTCCTCTCTCTAGAACTACTACTCTTTCTTTTTTTTCAAGACAGGGTTTCTCTATGTAGCCCTGACTGTCCTGAAACTCGTATAGACCAGGCTGACCTACCTCAAACTCAGAGATCCTCCTGTCTCCGCCTCCAAAGTGCTGGAATTAAAGGCGTGTGCCATCATTGCCAGGCTTGAGAACTGCTACTTTCACAATAAAACAACTTTAAATCCGTGCCTTGGCTTGGAGAACAGTGGTACCTTTGACCATAGGGTAGTGGTACCTTTGACCTACCTCAGGGCCAAACCTTATGACTTTTCTTCCCAAGTCCACCTCTCACACACAGGAAGCTTGGCTAGTTAATAAATCCACCAGGCTGATGGCATTTCTGTCAGTCTGGAAACTGTTCCAGATTGTAGCCAGTGTGGCTGTCTCTCTGTACATGCCCACCTATTTCCTACTCTCCTACGTCCTTAGTACCATTGCACATAGGTCTTCATGGCTCTACTCCACTACCATATCTGTTCCGTACATACTGCAGAAACCCACCTCCACTCCATCTGGATCTACCCTTTAGCCTGGTCCCCAGAACCTTACCTTTTGTACTTCAAACTCGAAAGCACCTCAAAGTCTAGCATACAAAAGCTGGCTTACAGAGATTGGAAGATAGCTACTCAAGCAGAGGCACCTGGGTTCTAATCCCTAACACCCACATAAAAAGCCAGACCTAAGCATGTGCCTGTAACCTCAGCACTACGTGGGGGGGGCGGATAGGATTGATGGGGCTTGCTGGCTACCAGCCTAGCTTCAGGTTTAGTGAGACCTTGCCTGAAGAAATGGGGTGAGGAGATAGAGACTACAGGCCACCTCCTCTGGTCTTTGCGCACTCCTGGGTGTACCCACCCCCAAAGAAAAAGCAGAATGAGCTGTTGTCTTCAAACCCTCTCCCCCTTGTCCCTTTGCTAGTATTCATCTTCGGGAAGGGCATCAGTACTAGTCACTCATATATTTCCCCATCTACTCAGCAGATTCACATACAGCACCTAAAAAGTACTGGATACGTTTATTAACTGAGATGCCCACTACACAAGAACCTTTGTGTGAGCACATGTGCACTCAGGCAGAAGGCTAGAGGTTAACGTTGGTGGACATCTTCCTCAACCTCTATCTTACTTTTGAGAATAACCCCTCATTGAGTCTGGAGCTCACCAGTTCACAAAGGAGGGCTTGCCAGAAGTCTCAGGGATTCTCATGTCTGCCTCCTAGCACTGGAATTACAGACAGAAGCCCCAGTGCTAGTCTTTGTAAAATCGGGATTGACCTCAGGTCCCTATGTTTGTGTACTGAGCATGTCACTGACTGAGCCATCTCCTCAGCACAGTGAACCTTATGGTTTTAGGGAATCATGATACAAGGCATTGGCAACATGGGGTTGAGAGCCAAGAAAAAAAAAAAAAAACAGTTCAGAACCCATTTTTTTCTCCTTTGAGACAAGGTGTCTACATAACCCTGGCTGACCTAGAACTCACTATGCCAACTGCTCTGCCTCCAAGTGCTGAGGTTAAAAGCATGCGCTACCATGCCTATGCGTGTGAGTGCTCTGCCTGCGTATGTATGGATGTGTGCTGCATGCATCAACAGTGCTCATGGGGGTCACACGAGGGAGCCCAATCCCCCAAGCCACTTTCTAGCTCCAGAACCCAGTTCCTCAAACTGTGAGTTGCAATCCTATTCCTATATGGGGTTGCATACCTGAAATGGGGAGGCAGATCATTAAAAAAAATGACAACAGTTATAGGCTTCTAAGCATGCAACAAATAAATCAAAATCAAGCATGTAACGTATCTGACGTGTTTCTAGCAAGGTCTACCCATGTTGCACTGATCAACTACTGTCTTGGTTCTTATTAAAGATTTATTATTATTGTTTTAAACTGTATGTGTATATGTGTCTGTGCACATAAGTGCAGATGCCCAGAATTCAGAAGAAGACATCAGATTCCCTGGAGGGGGAATTACAAGTGGTTATAAGCCACCAGATGTGAGGGCTGAGAATCAAACTACCCAGCAAGAACAGCAAGTACCGAGCTATCAACACCTACAGATGCAACCTGCTTGTATTTAAGACTACTGCTCTTTATGAACTGCAATGTTTTGCTTTACAGTTTATTGATGCTCTTATAGAAATATAATAGAGGTCAGATGTATCGATGCACATCTTTAATCCCAGTACTTGGGAGGCAGAGGCAGGCAGATTTCAACCCTGTCTCCCCCACCCCCAAAATACAAACAAACGTTTTTAATTTTGAAAACACTCTCCTAGAGTCATTCTTCAGCATTTGAGTTTGAGTGTCAAATTAGTAACTCTGGATGGTGTATTAGAATACTATTTTTTGTTTGTTTGTTTGTTTAAGACAGGATTTCTCTGTGGCTTTGGAGGCTGTCCTGGAACTAGCTCTTGTAGACCAGGTTGGTCTCGAACGAACAGAGATCCACCTGCCTCTGCCTCCCAAACACCACCACTGCCCGGCTTAGGATATTAATTTTAAAGATTGCTGTTGGATTTA